GAATTTTCTCTTCGAATTTATCCTGAAAAGCATGGTAATCGTGAGACAATATATGATATTGGAAGAATTTTATCAGAGTTTCTCTGATTAATATTTTGCACAACAAAAAATATTAATCGAACATATTTTATATCTTATTATGGCAAATATTAATATTTTTATTGCGATAAATATTAATCAGAGATAACTTACAAAATTTTTCCAATACCATCATATTGTTCCACGATTACCATGATTTTCAGGGTAAATTCTAGAAGAAAATTCTCTTTACGTAGAAAAAGAAAATCATTTGAAATCTTTACTATAGAATAAGTATATCTTCTCGATTTTACAACGCGATATTATATATTCGTGAAGCGATTATTCGGTCTTATCGGTGATACGCTCAATGCGCAAATACCATCGAGAAACATACGCATCGATGGTGGCGGAAAATATCGGAAAGGTGCGTGAAAGCGGAAAATAAGATCAATTTCGTTGTGCGTTCACCGATACGTGTACAACTAGGGGTCTTTGTTTCTCTTTCGGCATTGTCGAACGTCGTCGTTGTGTCATCGGCATCGTCGACTCGGTCAAACTATCGACTTTTCGTGTATTCTCAGCACGCCGCGAAGATACGCGAGTTTATTTTCCGCAGAAAATCACATGTCCGGATAACGTCGGTTATCGCGCAGCATACCCTGAATGCAATGTTCTGCGTACTTTCCGAAAGAATCGGAATGTGCCTAGCTTCCTAGGCTCCTCTGCGTATGTATCGAGAAGGTATATAAATGTATGTTCGCTCCACATGATCGTAAGCTTGCACTTTGGAATGTACATAATTTTAGGAAAAAAATATTTAAACAATGATAGAATAAATATATAGTAGTGTTTGTGAATTTGAAAGTATTCTTTTTCTGCAAAGATTTCTCAAGTGAAATTTAAAATTAATAACTTATTTAATATGTATTTAAAACATGCTAAATGGATATATTCTTTTATAAATATTAACTTAGAACTATATAGAAAAGCATGTACGAGAAACACTTTCTTTTTTAAATACACATGAACTCTAACAAATCCGAGCAATTGCGCGCAAGGCAATAAATTCAAATCTTATTGAATTATACAGTAGGAATCAGAGAGATCGTTTAAACAACATGCGAATGCTTTTACGTTCATCACGGCAGCGATGAATTTCGCGTTTTTTCCCATTGATTCTGTACGTGCTGTAGGTTCATATTTTAGAATGCAGTAGATCAAATCTGATATTGATAAAATTGTCAATTTACCAAAATTAACCATGATTTTACGATAATATTCTTATGATAGAAGCCAATTATAACTGAAGATTAAAATAGTAGACATAAAATTAGAGCAACTAGATATGCTCTCTTATTTTTTAGAAGTGAATGCACTTTAGTGTTAATTATTTCCTTAATTTCCTCAGAAAATTATTTCAAGCAGTTATTACATATAATATATCGACTCAAATAAATTTCATATCTTTGTGAATATTTTTTCTTTTTACTTTAGATGGACAGTTGTCGAGATATTATCTATTCCGCATTAATTACAATACAGTGCCTGATTTAATTATTCTTTTAATTAATTTATATTATATTTCCGTCTGTAATGTATGTGACGGAATTATATGGTACATTTCTATCGCACGCAGAGACATACATCGAATTCATATTCGTTATTCCAGCGTGTGTGACCAGTGAATCGCGTGAATAATTTTGCGTACCGATTTCGCATTTGGTGCCACTATCAGATTTCCGATTATGCTTATTGTCTTTGTTACTCGTTAAGCGGCTTACCCGGAATACACAGATGAATTGTTCCTGAATTGAAAACATAGGGTATAAAGACTTTTATAATATTTACAAGTCCATTAGGTACGCTTTTATTAAGCCTTTCATTTTATATCGCCGTGGTTATATGCTTTTAAATTTTGTTATTTTTTTTACTTTTTTCTCCTCTTCTCTACTCTACTCTAAATTATATTAATACTGCTTTTTGCAATGAAAATAGCAACCACGGTAGGTTACGGCAAATTACGGATAATATTTAACTTTAGCGCATTAAAATATCTTTATGACAGCGTTTATTACACACAGAGTTACACTCTTATTTTACATTCATATGAAGTTTTAAATTCTTTTTATCAGTCTACGGAGAGAGTCGATTTTTTTTAAATAAAAATATAGGAACGTGTTGATAGCTTAAGATCCCCAATTTTTTACGGTTTTTTATCAAAAGAATTAATTAAAAAAAATATGTAAATAAAACTTTAAGCAATTCTAAATGCATTATCATCAAGAAATAGATTTAGGCCTTTGGTATCGTGATCATCAATTCCGTTTGTAGTAAGACCCTCCATTAGCCAGACTATAGCCATGCTGTGTTAAGAGCAGTACGTGGGGCATGTAAATTGCGGTTCCACCAGCTTTGCTCAACGTCGAATTCGATACCTAGCTAGTCCGTGTTATGGTTAGGATGGTCTTAAATGTGGCAACGGAAATTTCTGCCCTGGTTGCACCAGATTACGGGTACGCACGCATATTACTGGTACGCACGCATATTATGGAGATACAATACGCGCATGAGAGAATCCTACGTTTATGCGGGTATACTGTGAGAGGATCACGAGATAATACTGCGAAAGGAATTAATCGCAAATAATAATTTACGCGTAAACGCGTAGAATTTCCCGAGATATCAACTAACAGTAAACGAAAGAGCAGCTGCGTAGCTTTAAATAAATGTTGTAAAATCGTTATCGGATTTTTTTTCGTAAATTTCAGAGTAACATTCCGCATACTTTTATTTTTTTATTTAAAAAAATTTTTTTTACATCGACTTCAATGCCCACGTATTGTTTTACATGGCGTTGCACGTTTAGAGTTTAGATTAATGGCCACGTTTAATCGTGATTTATCTCTCGGCCGTTTAAGGCCCTAAACGCGGCAATGAATTCTGTAACCAGCGCCCAATTACAGCCATCCACTGCACAGACCAACACTTGTGCATGCACTCGCACGCCTTCGGAACAAGCGAATGCATTTGTCGTTGCCAGGCTTTTATGGTTTCGCAACCGCGTCCGATGTTCTTCGTGTGTGAGTATTTTGGGCCCGCAGAGACAAATGATGTGCATTTCATCATTCCAACCTTTCTCTCGATTACAGATGTATCTTATACGACGAGATCTACCGAAGTAGTATAGTAATCTTTCTTCTATTTTTGAGCGTAACTACGGTACTTTCTTCTGACAACGATCTGTCACTCGTTACGTCATTACGAAAACGTCACGCGCGCAATCTTTTATCGGCTCATGCTTGTTATATTCTCGCTTTTTCCCTACATTTTTTTCTTTGTCACAAATCATAGTACTCGTAAGTACGTGTGATTCATGATAGAGAAAGTGAGGGGGAGATAAAACTCAAGCTTAAGTCGCCACGATCTAGAGACGCAAATGTCACGTAGCAAAAGTAAACGAAGCTTTGAGAACTAGAGAAGTGCATTTTTTTATTTTTTCATAGAACAAGATTCTAAATAAGAAATATTAAAATACAACCAAATTCGTTTTATTATAAAATCTTATTTATTAACACACGGAGAGAATTTTCTCTTCGAATTTATTCTGAATCATGGTAATTGTGTTAATTAAGAGTTTCTTTGATTAATATTTAGCACAATAAAAATATTAACATGTACATAGTAAATTTTACTATGTACATACATATGCATAATAAAATTAATCGAATATATTTTCTATCTTATTGTGATAGATATTAATATTTTTTATTGTAATAAATATTAATCAAAAAAGCTCTTATAAAATTCTTCCAATACCATATTGTCTCATGATTATATCATGATTTTCAGGGTAAATACTAAAAGAAAATTCTCTTTGTGTAGATTTAAGAAAGAGAAAAGTAAAGGTGATATAGGGAATTAAAACAAACTCCTTTTCTCTCTGTCATCCTTTTTTTTCTTTTCCTCTTTCTCTCTGTATTTTTATATATAAGACCCGGAAATTTTAAAACTATCATTGAAGAAGTTTCCGATTTCGCGACGCCAATCGACAATGAATACTTTACACGTACCGAAAAATAGCTCTCTTTGTCACGCCGTCCGTATCGATTTTCTCACATTTCTCCATTTGATCTCACATTTCTTCCCGTTACCACATACTCTTCTACTTCCCTTGGAAGCAATACGAGCGACGAGTGATACTTTATACACCGGCTCTTAGCGTGCGCGTACTAATGGAATATTTGCGAAGATCTCTCCCTTTTCAAACCCTTTATCGAAGAGCCGATTTCTTTTGAACACGGCCCGTGTTCGCGTTTCCTTTAGCACGCAAGGTAAAATCATCGTGATTTATCGGCAAGAGGGTGAAAACTTAAAGCGCGGCTTAAAAAGGTCACCGCCGTCACGGCGACGATGGGCGACAATAGGTCCCAAAAACGGTTTAATACTAGCGTATAAGCGATATGATCTATTGTTTCCCAAGACGAGCAAGAATATAATACCACCAGTGATTTATCGCTCCGTTATATTCGACTCTTTGCTTGCCTCTGTGTTTCCGACAAGTAGCGAACGCTTTAGCTGCGTGTAACTCGTAAATCTATAAAGACCTGTTTGTGCCTAATGTTGAAGTTGTTTGATCTGTGCCACAATAAGATCAAAGGCATCATGAAGAAAATTGCAACGTCTGTCTAATATTATTAAGTAATAAAACATTGATAGAGCAGCAATATTTATATAATAATAGTTTTGGAATAAAACATTTTTTTATTGTTAAGTATAAATCTGAAATATATTTTTAAGAATTAGAAATTTTTTAAAGATTTTGTTTAGCATGATTTTATATATAATATCAATTGACCGTTTTTCTCTGTCGTTGTAAATATATTGAAAGATGTATTCTTCAGATTTTTTTGATACTTTCAAGTAAAATTCTTACATGATGATGCTTTTAAAAACTTTGCTCGATAATTATCTTTATTGTTTTACTTCTTTTTCTTTTTGACTTTTTCTTTCTTCTTTTTTTCTTGCTTTTTATCTTCAAGCTTCTTCACAATAATAGGTTCTTTCGGAATAATTATGGGCGGGGAAGGACCTGGATCTGGTAACGGGATATAATTTCGTGGTGATTTAAATTCCACCTCAAGAGTGTGCTTCATATCATCGCTGAGAGTAATTTGCCTTGTTGTTTTTAGTAATAACATTTCTTCCTCCGGTTTCTTCAAGATAGATGCTTCATTATGTATTACATGAACTTTTGGACAACCTTTTTTGCATGGCTTACCTTGTATAGAGAGAAAAATATATCGTATATAATAAATATAATCTAATATTATGACACACATGTGTGTAATTACATATTAAAGTATATAATTACAATTTTATATATATGTAAATATTGCTGCTTTTATCAATGTTTTAGTATTATAGTAACTGTTAACAGCTACTAATTAAATAAACATTAAGATAAATAATAATAATTAATGCATATATATATAATATAAATAATTAATACATATTTTACCATATTTATCCAAACAATTAACATCGATGATAGGTTCGGCAGCTTTTCCAGCCACAGCTTGAATACGATGTCGATCCTTGGGTAATTTAATAGATAAAATATTATTGTCAATCTCATGTGATACTTTGTCGTATAACGATTCCTTATTATTAGGACATGTGAGTTGACGATTCATCATTTTTTAATGAAATAATTAAAAGTCGATTATTTTTATAAATATGAGTTACATATGTCATTTAAAATTTTTCGCGCATTTAAGGTTACATCCAAAATATAGCTTAACTCTTTACATCGCTTTGAAACAAATTCACGCATCTCGCATAGTATCAGTATATGTTATAGCATTATCGTGATTATTTCATTTTTTATGTTACATGATTGAATTTGTATCTCGCATACGTTAGCTTAATTTTTCATCAAATACTTATTTAAGAAGTCAAGTCCCAGCCGTATTGCTTTACAATCCGGTTTTATTTCTCTTTAAGTTAATTATCACGCTTGGATACACAATAGTAGCTACTGTCTTCGAAGCATTGTTTACGAATTATTCTCGCCGTTCAAATTTTTACATGTTAAGTGTATATAAAGAGAAATATCTTACGCGAGCGAAGTGCTTTTCTTCCTCCTGCCTCGTCTCGCTATGTAAAGACGACGCGGAAATAAAGAGACGGAAAGTATATATAAAAGCGAAATGCAGATGAGGAAAAGACTGTAACGGCTCCGTTCTCATAGAACCGTGAGAGACTAGGAGCGGTCCTCGGAATGGCTTCGCTGTTTTCACTCGGAAATTTCTTCTGGACATATAAGACGATACTGTCGAAATATCTCCTCCGTCCGGTTCGCAAAGCGCTTTCATTGTTTCATTCGTTCTCTTCCTGACGTTTGCCGGTACGATTCCGGCGAAAGAGCCCACGTCATTCCTCGGAGTGCGTGGAATCGCACTTTACGGATAAATATGCAAATATTGTCTCAGTTTTTGTTCTCCCGTCCAGCTTCGGAGAAATATATCCGACCACTTTCCTACAACGCTCGGCTTTAATTTTTCTCTCCCTCGCTCTGTCTTGTCTTCCCTCGACATTCCTTCATTTTTTCTTTTATTCTTTTCTCTTTTTCCATCTTTTTTTCCGAGCACACGCCTCGCTAGGAGAACTTAATATTCTTGGCACCTAAACTTCTCTTTTGTTACGTAACTTCGTTACTTCTACATAACGTTCTTAATGTCCGCGCTTTTAAAAGATAATATTTCAGCTTCTTCCGCTGACTTATTCTCTCTCTCTCGCACGCGGGCGACATGGTTATTCCCGGTTCTCTCTGCGATGACGACGATGATGAACGTTTTTCTGAAAACAAAGCTTTTTTCTCTGAAAATATACTAAATGTATAGTCCGGGAGGTACGGTAAACTAAAATATTTTTTATGAATTTGTGAAATTGCAAGGATGTCAGAAGTGAAGGAGAGAAGAGACGCGAATATATTTGGGCGAACTTAAAAATTCCATTAATCTCTCCCCGTTCATTCTTTAGTCGCGCGATATTCGACGTGCTCCATCCGTGGAGATACGTTTCATGTACGAGAGCCGAAGGGGTATGCTAATATTATGCGGCTCTTTCATAACGCGGGGCCACACACGCGTGTTTTACTTTCATGAAGTTCCTCGGTTCGGTTAATACTTTTTCGACAAAAGAACCGAGAAGAGAGAACGAGACTTCTTCTTTTTTTCTCCAACAATAAGGGAACGCGCGGTCCAATAATTCGCTCGTAGAATCTGTTGAAACGAATCGATAGTTGTTACTGCGCGATGCATAACTAGCTTTTAAAACATCCTCCTTTAGAACGGCACAACCGACTTTGGCCGCTTTGTGCAAAGTCGCTGAAAAGTTCGGGCTGTTAAACTTTTAATCGGTAATCCGGCGGAAAGTCCTGCACACAGGTCGGCATGCAGCGGCAAGTTTAGCCCTTTAACTTACGAACTTCTTCTCGTCATTAAATACCGGCTCGACGTAAATACCTTGTGCTCTTCGAATTCGCGCGTTGACGTAGTTTGTGTAGCATTAAAGTTAAGAAACATTGTTTTAATCCTTCAGATTAGTTCGCAATAACGCGCTTTCAGTAGTATATTTCCAGTAGTATAGCTTTCTCTCTGTATACCGTGATATTTATTATTGTCTCTAAAGATTCTATTTTTTGCATATATTATGGTGATTTTTATTTTTATTTTTTTTCATGGAGATGTATTTAAGATTTTTTTAAATAAATGGAAATTATAATTACGTTGAAATATCATATTATTCAGCAGCATATTTTAATACGTAAACTCTGAATTCTGAATTGTGCTAGGATGCTAATTAATATTGCATATGCCGGTACGCAGTTGATTAGTCGTTTACAAACCTAATGCTACAAGCTAAATGCAACGCTCGCTAGCTAATGTACATCGAATGTATGGTGATTTTGAATCATTGACTTACCAATTGTTAGCTTTGCCAATGTTCTTATCTTTAATATTAATTATGTAAAATGATTATTACGATTATTTATTAATTATTATTATGATTATTATTATCGCGATTGAAATCGCGCTAAAAATCTTGGGTACGCATATATGATATTAAATTCACGCCTTCGATCAAACGTAGCTACATTTGTGAAAATAATGTTGAACGTGACTGTGCAAATTCAGGAAACGCTGATTCACTCCCTTGAATAATCATGGTGCTAATAATCATGGGATGTTAATAATTCGTACATATACCGTCAACCCGCGTTGCCAGCTTATGCTTCATTTAACTTATTTCGATCAAACATTGCACACATGATTTATTAATGAATGTTAAACCAATTGCGTTCCAAAGGCATATAATTTCGAAATAATGTATTTGATCGAAAACATTGGAGGGAAACGGGGGAAGAAAAACATGGTGTGCGCCATCGAACATTATATTCACATCGATTTGTTACCAAGCTTTCTACGCGAATTAATACAAACGTAAAAGAGATTATTGTCTCTGGTTTGCAATAAAATTACATTTTTAATACGCATCGTTACAAATGCAATTGTTAATTACGATTGACAGGAGCGTTGCAAGAGTCGATTTGAGCGTGAAAAATTTATTCTTCTAAAGTGGATCGAGCAAAATCGGCGAGATACAAATTATGATTGATTGTTCTTATCACACTATATACATATACAGGGTGTCCGGTAACTAACGAACCAACGATTACAAATGGATTCTTTGGTCAATTTGGGAACGATTTTTCCTCAGCAAAAATGTCGAAAAAGGTCATCATTTTTTACAACTTTCCAATATTTGTCATTATGTATTTTTATAACTAAGCCTCAAATTAAAATTTTATTATAGTAAACTCTACCTGAAATTAACTGAAGAATGTAATTATGTTAGACTTTTAACTCCAAAACGTTTAGTTTTCAAAAAACCCATTTTTTTCAATCGTTTATAACTCGAAAATTATTGACTTCTCAACATTTTTGCTAAGGAAAAATCGTCTCCAAATTGGCCAGAGAATCCGCCCTTAATCATTGGTCCGTTAATTACAGGACACCCTGTATATATATTATCATACATATACCATGAAGCTTGCCGCATCGAATAAAGTGTTGCGCTATTTATATTTAATTTTTTTTCGATATCGCAACAACGCAACATAATTGAAAAGCGAATTTTAAATTTCTATTTTGACATCTTATATGACAGTTTCAGTCATGATGCATGATATTTGTTTCCTCGATATTGGCGATTGTTTATCTTCGAAAGAATCTAATATACTTTCAGCGAACCTGCAATTTCTATTTCGTTGAACGTGCGGATGAAAGCGTTTTCTTTCTTCTTGAAACTTCGTACCTCTCACAGAATACTCAATGTATAGTGGAAGGACTGTTTCAAGAAATAAAACCTCATAGAAAATTAAGTCCTCGGGAACTTTTATATAAACACCGAACATTTTATGATACTATGTAAAGTTTAACTTGGAACACGCGTAGAAAAAGAACCTGTAGTTTCTTATCAGATTTTCTTCTGTAGACTGCATCTAGTGCGCATACAATCTCGGAAAAAATAATGCATAAATAACGTAAAAAAAAAAAAAAAAAAAAAAATACATAAGAGAAGTACAAACGGCATGAGCTTCAAAATTTATAGTATGATTATGCTTTTATATTTTTTTTACAAAAGATATTTTTAGTAAAGATAAATTTAGTAAAGATATCGTAACAGAAATGCGCGGTGACATTTTATTTCTCGATGACTTATTATCTATCCAAATTTATATCGACGGATCCGCGAAAGCCCGCCAATACGTTATTTTGCAAGAAGCCGTCGCGGTGGATATCGCGACGCCTGGAAAACGCGCTATCGCTCAACGTAATAAGTTCATCACTTTGCATAGGAGAGGATGCGTGAAAAATATATTTGTCCCGGACTCTCGTAGCGCCTCGGGGTAACATTTGTCGTCGTCGCGTGGCGGGGTACATAGACAGAAGCTACTTCAGTAAAAGTTCAGTAGCTTCCTCCCTTTTCTCTTCTGAAGTCTCGTGGCTTTTTTTCACCGCGTCGACGAAACTACTGCTTGTTATGTTTCTCCTGTGTTTCCGTATATCCGGAGGTACCATAACTTCCGCAAATAGTCCGCGCAAGTCCGTACTCTCATGATTTCACGCGACGTTGGAGTTGTTAGGATGCAAATGCTATCCGGCGAATAAAAACAGAAATGGAATAAATATAGCCTTCTAAAATTGTAATTGTGCGAGCTTTTATATATTATCAAAATAAAATTCGATATTAGGGAGAAAATGTTGGTTACATGTTACAAGATAAAACAATTAAGATCTTCAAATTTTTTCAAATGTTTTATTTGAAAAGTTAAGAAACATATTTTGATTCATTCTCTTTAAACATGGCTAAGCATATGACTTGATATATATTTATGTATCGTAAGTAACATTATTATAAATAATGTATAATTCACTTTACTTATTTCGGAAGCTTACATAAATTTTCATATTCGTGTTACCTAGGTGTCGATGAATTTACGACATCACCAATGAATTTGCCCATTGTTATAATCAATGCGAGGGTAGGTCTCGGCTGAATGAATACAAAGTTTAAAGACCCAAAGTCGATGCTAATCAATTACCGTGCTTAAAGCAATATCTTTATTGAG